AAGGGGGGGGGGGGGGGGGGGGGGGGGGGGGGGGGGGGGGGGGGGGGGGGGGGGGGGGGGGGGGGGGGGAGACAGTTAAAACTGACTCACTGGTGAAAGACGGACTGTTAAAATCTTATGATATGATGAAATGCAACTTTTAACCAGTAATGCGTTTAAGATCATCAGTGAATCTAACTCAGTTCGAAATGCAGACTTCTAGGTTAATAAGAAAACGGCTACAATCTTGAGGACGGTGTGGACAAGGCAATTAACGCTGTATCCTTGGAAACCCAGGGACTGATTATCAGGTCACCACAGGACATCTGCTGCTGCTTGCCGTACACTTTGTGATGGTATTACTGCGTGTAACGCGTAATAATTTATCACCGGTATTCGCATAAATATATATCTTGCATGGTATACTCTCGTCCCATCCCTCTGAAGTGAAGTGAAGTGAAAGACTTTATTTAATGAGGGTGACCCGTGACAGTAACTTAAGTTACTGATAAACTTGGGGCCCTCAGCTCTACGTTTTATGACTCCAAGATGGTCCCCAAATACTTTTAAAATTTTAAATCTTGAGTCAACTTTATAGTGTAAAAGCGGAGCTCTTATTACAACAAATTGACCTGGCTCGAGCCTTGCGATCCAATAGAAAAACAGTACCTCAACTTCAAAAAAACACGTAACCCCGATAAGCCCTAAACCTGAGCCCGCGAGATGGCCACGTGACTTAAAGTGATACTGGTCAGCGGATACCTTGTCTTGAAAGGTGTCAATTGACCATAACATGGATGCCTCGGTTGACCTATCGCTGGAGTATCGCCGCCATGTTGCTCGACGTCGTCGTTTTTCGTCGTCGTCCTCGTCGTAAGGTACACACGCCCGCAATCCATGCCGCTAGCTAGAGTTGCGTGGTTTTCTATTTCTATGCATGCATGTGGTTCTGTTCCTATAGTTATGGTGCTCCGCTTGGCGGTCCTTCAAGCCTCCGGGGCTCCGCTATGAATTTACTTATTTAAACTATTAATTAATTTATTTTTCTTTGTTATTTAACTTTAATATGGCGACCTTATTTAGAATTCAGAATTAATCCATTTTTGTTTTGTTTTGTTTTGTTTTTCAGAAATATCTTTTCTATAATTGTGTATAGCTTTTCATTCTACTTCGTCATTGGTCAATGTCGCTAAGGAGTCACGTGAGATATGCGCGCGAAACCAGAGCGGTCACTTGCAAGCGAACTTTAGAGTAGTTGCACGTAGAAATATTTATCATGGCGAAAACAAACCATCCAGAAGATCCCGACGAAATACCGAAGGAAAATCCCACTGAGGATGTCGAAGACGACCTTCTAGAGGATCCTGCACTCGACAATAGCGACTCGCTATTGAGAGTACTCACTAATTTGGACCGAAACATGGATCACATGGCGGGTTCATTGT